TGTCCGAGGGCGTCTGCCCCGAGACCCTCACATGCAGCCCCGGGCGGGGCCCTGGGAGGCGGGGGTTCCAGTTGCAGAGATTTGGCCAAGTTCAGAGCCAGGAGCACACGCTCAACGGGGACAGAGACGGGTGGCCCCCCAGCCAGCGAGGGACACAGCGCGAGGGTGCCGAGTCGATGGTGGGGCCCCGAGGTTCCCGGGTCGGTGCCGGAATCTCTGCCTCCGCCCAGACCCGACCCGCGCTCCGGGCCTGCTCACCTGCTCTCCTGCCCTCGGCTGGACGCTCCCCCCCCTCCCCGGTGCCACAGCGCCCAGCACAATGCGTGTCCAAGACTCGCCTCGCCTCTGCCTGGCTTTTATGTTTATCTGAACGGGGGGGGGGGCACCGTCCCCCACCAAGTTGTTCCCCTGAAACCCGCAGGCGCTCGTCTGCCATCCCCTGTCCCCCCCACAGGTCCCAGCGCTGCCCCTCCCGATGGCCGAGCAGTGCGTCCTCTCCCGTCCCCTCCGCCCAGTCCCCACGGTCCCATCCCTGTCCTCACCGTTCCCGGGGGGCCACTGCCGGTCTAGGGGCCACCGAGCTCACGTCCCCTCCCCCCTACAGAACCGTCCATGGCTCCCGCCTTCCCCGGCTCGAGTTCCTCATCGAGGCCCTGACCTCCTGCCCCTCTGGCCTGTGGCTCCAGCACCAATTGGCAGGAGGGACGGGGGGCCCTGCAAGCCCCTAAAGGGGGGTTGGTGGACCCCTGGGCACAGGTGCTCACCCAGGCGGACCTCCTGCGATGTGAAGGGGGGGGGAGGGGAGAGTGAGGGGGGTGATGATACAGGGTGTCTTGGCCCCTGGCATCCTCAGGCGTGGAGCTGAGCTGGCTGAGGGTGCCGGGCTCCTCGATCAGGGCGGACGTTGAGGGTAGGGCTCTAGCTGCGAGCTAGGAGCCCTGGTCCTGCCTGGCCCACTGAGTGACCTGGAGCAGCGGGTCCCCTCCCTGTGCCTCAGTTTCTCCCGACCAAGAGTGAGGAGGTTAAACGCAGTGGGGCTCACACCCGCAGGCGGCGGCGGGAGGTGCCCGGACCAGCACTGGTAACTCTAATGGTCATGCTCTTGTCTCAATGAGCATTAGAAAAACCAGGGTCGTTAGCACATCCGCTGCAGGCCTGGTGGGTAGTCATGTGAAGGACGAGTAAAGGGGGCCGAGTGTATGTACAGGAAATATTAGCCCGGCCAGCCGAGTGGCTGAGCGTCGACCTGTGAGCCAGGAGGTCACGGTTTGATTCCCGCTCTGGGCACCTGCCTGGGTTGCAGGCTCAGTCCCCAGTAGGGGGCGTGCAGGAGGCAGCCGATCCATGATTCTCTCATCATTGATGTTTCCATCTCTCCCTTCCTCTCTGACATCAATAAAAATATATATATATAATTTCAAAGAAAATATTAGCCGAACGCTAAGTGCCGTTGGCTGGGGCAGGAACTCTGGGAGGACCTGGGCCGTGTGCTGGTTGGGTCCCCGTCGAGACCCCCTCTGTCAGCGGCCTCCGTCCCGGGCTCCCCATGGGGCCACGGGGCTCAGACCAGACGCCAAGGGGACCCGACACTGCAGCCTCCTGGTCCCGGTCCAGCCGGGAGCACCCAGGGGTCACCTCCCAGCCCCTGACACCCACGCTGGCGTCCTCAGAGCCACTCAGAGAGGCTCCCACACCTGGGGCTTCCCCCACAAGACACCCCTGTTTTCCTGCCCCGAACACTCACAGGAGCCCCCTCGGCTCCACCCCACACCCTTCCCCTCCCGGGGGCCATCCCTTCTGGGCACTCGCGGGCAACACCCTGGGGCACCGCATCCCCACCTGCCCCTGCAGGGGCTCAGGGGGCCAATCAGGAGGCCGGGGGCGGCCCCCTCTCCCCCTCGGGGCGGGTCCCAGATCAGAGGAGCCCC